ACCGCTCCCGGCTTCCGCGGGGTCCTAGTACAGACCGGCGCCGCCACGTCAATGCGTGAGGCCACCTAGGTCGTCAAGCCACCCGTGGGCTGGCTCCCTGGCGAGGCGAGCACGACAGGCATCCTCGCCAATCAGCGGCAAGAAAAGGGCGCTCAAGAGGCTCGAAGCATGAGTGCCATGGATCCGTGCCGTGCAGAGCGCCTCCACCGGCAAAGGCGCGAGGGCCCACGGCGGTACTTGGCGCCAGGCCGGCGACCGTCGTACCACAAGAGGGGCGTGGTGATAGGTGTGGCGATGCTAGGAGCGGTCGAAGCTAGGGCCGAGAAAGCTCGCTGTTGCGACGGCGAGGAGTGTGAGGGAGGCCGTCAGGGGCTGAAGGATTGTAGTAAACTGCGCGGCGCTTCCCCGCGGCCTCCCGCTCAAGGGGATCTGCGCGCATCATGTACAATGCAATTCTGTGCCCCCATGGATCAGGCATCGTTTCACGTGGTGTGCGGGACAAAGCACACGATTGGCGGTCGTACCTTCCACCAATCTGGTACGTGTGCGTTCGCTGTACGCCCCTGCGGCATGGCGTCGTTTTCGGCCGCACGGGCCGCGTAACGGATCCCCCCCCGCGTAACGCTCGACGGCCATTCCGAAATCCGACGTCAAATCGCCGCCCCGGCGCCCGTGAACCGGCGCCACCTACATTGTAGTGCGTAATGGCGCTTTGTGTCCCGGACCCCGGCTGAGCCCCGTGATCTGCTGCTGGCCCTGGATGGGCCCCGCACATATGGACCACCCCCGGTGATGTCGGGGCGCCCCGGTACTCGGGGCGCCGACGACAGCCGAGTCACTCAAGCGCGGGCGCCCGGCTTCGTTGCCGGACGGTCGTGGTGACGCCCGGTCTAGCGGGGATTATTCCAATGTACGTTGTTGTTCAAGCAAATTCCGAGGAGGGTGGCCAGTCACGGCGGAGTCAATCGCTCGTGCTGTGAATGCTTCCCCCTCATCAAGCCGGCTCGCCCCAATTTCGCTTCACCGGACGCCCGGGCCGGCGTCCGACGGGCGGGCCGGAGAGCGGAGTGCCGGCGAGGTGAGTCAGGCCGCTCAGGCATGCTCCTGGCAGCTCGGATTTGATACGATGTAGGGGGCGCCGCTTGACGGGGCGCAGGTACAAAGCGGCCTGGTGGGGGGCGGACGGGCCAGTCCCCATATCTCTGGCAGGTGGACGCCCCGGAGGGCTGAAAAGGCGGGCCGCACCGGGTGCCGCGAGGAAATAGAGAGGGGAGCTCGGGGAGCGAAGGAAGGCCAAGCCAATAACGGCAGAGGTGGGGAGCGGCGCAGACGGACGGACGCGCCCCGCGCGTCGCCCCCTCGGCGCGGTGTGGGGCCGTTCCCGTGCCGCCTGTGCCCGTCTGCGGCCGGCGGGACACCTTGACGAACGGTCTCGCGGAGAACCTCGTAGACGGGCCGGTCGAGGGCATCCCTGGCAGCCCCCGCGGGAGCGGCCTTGCTGCAGACCTTCGTGTGTGCGATCGTTCGATCCCGTGACGTGCATGCATATGCCGCGCATCGGCGCATGCATATTCGGCATTAGTGGAAGCTGCGCGCCGGCGGCGGCCGGGGGCGGGGCTCCGGGCAGGTTGGCGCTGGAATAACGGTTGGGCTGTGCGCGCGGGAGCAGGGAGAGGGAGAAGATACAAGGACGAGCGCCAACAGGTGGTAATTACTACGAGATGAGGTCGTTGGCGCTCGCTCTTTGCTTGGTGAGTTGGGGTGCCCAACATCGGACGGCACGGGGATTTGGGGCGGCGGCCCAGCCGGGGATGGGCCCTAATCGTGCCTCCTCCCAGCGCTAGGGGAGGCGTCGACGCGCCCTCGGCGAGATCGTGTGGAAACGTCGTTGCGATGATGTTGTCCAATCTTGCATCGTGACATCCGCGCGGCCGCGCGGATGGGACGGCGCCGTGGTGGATGGCTGCCGAGACGCTGGCCCGCAGAAAGGCCCGGCGCAGGCCCGTGGTGGCCGCGCCATCCTCGAGGCCGACCGACTGGGCGCCAGTTGGGCGCAACCAAGGGTGGAGCATCCTGGGCGGGCGTGCTGGATGCGCCCACAGTACACATTTCAGTCATTCATGCCTTGATTGTCTGGCGTGATTGATCGGGTATTCTTCTTATCTTCGCAGGCGCTTGTAGTGGGGACCGAGGTTCTGGATGCGCCCACAGTACACATATCAAGTCATTCATGCCTGGATGGTCAGCCGTGATTGGGAATTCTTCTTATCTTTGAAGGCGTTTGCTGTGGGGCCCGGGGTGCTGGATGCGCCCATAGTACACATATCAGTCATTCATGTTCTGATTCCCTGCCGTGACTGATAGGGAATTCCGCTTTTCCTCGCAGGCGTTTGTAGTGGGGGCGTATGGAGCACGGGACGCAAGCATGCGCTCTCTGGGTAGGTTCACATTCCCACCGGACATCCTCGGAAACAATCAAGCATGTGTGCACCTCCAATGAGCCAGTACACTCCTTGGTTTCATTTATTGCGACGTGAATCCTGTTGGATAGCAAAGCATGTTTGGTTCATCTACTGGTGACACTGTCTGGTACTGGCCGTCCCTGACGTGTATTCTTGTCCGTGATGGATTTTGTGCAAGGCCTTTGTCTTGCACGCGATTAGCGCAAGTTTCCATCTTCTGAAGATGCCTTCTTCCAAATATGGAATAAAACTGCACAGTTCTGCCGACTCCGGAAGATGGCTGTCTGCAGAACATCGCATGTGTAGTGTGCCACACATGCGGACCACATGTGTCGAATGCTTGCCCCCTGTTCCCAGAGACATTCCTAATGCGGCCGCCATCTGAAGATGACTAGCTTTCTGTATTTTGGGGCGTGGAGATTGCCCCGTGCCTCATGAAACCAATGGAATGAATTGTCATGTCTCCATTTGGAGCACCAGAAATGGCCCCGTTAATATGGACCACATGTTGCCAATGTAGCATGTCCCGATTGCTTGAATTCCTCAAAACGCGTCTTTCTGCCAGGATGCGAGCAAGCAACAAGGGACGCTGAAACGCTCTCCACTGGAGATTGGTTTTTGAATGGTGTTATATGGCAGCGACTCTTCAGTCGCCATCAGAACCCACTCTGAGAAACTGCCCGCATGAGATTATTCCTCTGGCCAATGCTAATGCAGCGAGTCGGTACGCAAGGGCACAGCCGCCCCCGAAACCGTCATCAGCGCAGCCGCGTCCACAATGGAAGCCTGCCCAAGACAGCCGGTCAACAATATCCTTGCGTGTTTGTGGTGTTTTGCGCACTTTGTGCATTTCGTACATTTTAGTGCGGGCGCACTGGTGGCGAGGCAGCTGTCGCAGCCGTAGTGGGTCGTAGCAGTCCATTTTGGGCTGCCGGAGCGAGCGCGCTCCTTCCCCGTGTGCCCTGTGCCCTTGCGTTCCCTTGTGTGCCAACTCGCCTCCTGTGTTTGCGTTCCCTCAGCGCAAGCGGGCAACTGCCCCCCGGGCGAGTTCTACAAGCCCTGGGACAACTCCTGCATGGCCTGCGACGCCAACTGCGCCTCAGCCTGCGTCACCAAGGACGGCTGCACGGCCTGCCGGCCGGGCTACTACACCAGCCGCATGGACCCTGAGTGGCCCAACGAGTGCAAGCTGTGCACCATCCCAAACTGCGTCACCTGCCGCAGCGGCATCTACGACGCGTGGCCTATGCAGTGCATTGAGTGCGCGCCCGGCTACGAGGCCGTGGACAACCGCAAGAGCTGCGCGCCGATCGGGGGCGGCTCCGTGCAGGGCGACTTCGTCACCCGCCCCGCGGCGCCCGCCTATCCCAAGCCCGCACCCCAGGTCGAGGAGTCCAGCACGCCGGTGCCCAACGGCCCGATTTACACCAAGACGGCCCCCGTGCCGCCCGCGATGGACATGGTGCTGCCGCCGGGCTACGTCATGCCACAGCCGATGCCCGCCTCCACGCCCGAGGTGTCGTCCGGCACGCCGTCGATGCCCATGACGCTCCCGCCGGGCTACATCATGCCCTCCCCACGCCCGGACGTCGCGCCCGCCAGACCGGTGAAGACCTACCCCGAGCCCGAGCCCAAGCCGGTGCCCGTCGCCGTGCCCGCGCCAGTCCCAGTCCCAGTGGCCCCCGAGCCCGTCAAGCCCCAGCCGGACGTCAGCCCTGAGACTATCTCCCAGGGCGCCTGCCCGGCGGGATCTTTCGTCAAGATGGACGGCACCTGCATGGAGTGCGACGAGTTCTGCCTGCCAGGCCAGTGCGCCGACAGGACGGGCTGTGCCAAGTGCCAGGACGGCTACTTCACGCAGGCGGAGGACCCCGAGTGGCCCAACGTGTGCGTGCTGTGCGACCTGCCCAACTGCGTCAAGTGCATCGACAATTCGTTCACCGCCTGGGCCACGTTCTGCGAGGTGTGCGCGCCGGGCTACGAGCTGGCCACCGACAGGACGTGTGTGGCGGCCGGCGGGAACGTCGGCGGGGAGTCGCTGGAGAAGGAGTACCCCACGCCGCCGGCGACGTACCCCAAGGAGCCCGAGGCCACAGGCGACGATATCGTGCTGGCGCCCGGCGCATGCCCCAAGGGTGGGTGGCGCGCGAATTTGGCACAGAGTCTTGTCGTCAGGAACCATGTCGGAAGTCTGAAGTCAGATGTCGGATGTCAGAAGACAGAATAGAAGATAGAAGTGAGAATGGTCGCAGCTGAGCCCGAGTGATTCCGGATTGCCCAAACGGAAAAGGCGAGCTTGCGGTCGACAGCAGTAGCGTCTGCTGTCTTCGTCGATCCTTGGCTTGCCGGACTTGCGAAGTGGGGCCGCCTTCTTTCGCCTCCAGATTGCTTGGACGCAATCCGTTAGCCATTTTAGTCGATCATGATCTGCATTCCCCCCCACTCACTTCTTCATATGCGGGGATCGCAAGCGTGTTCTATCGTGCGTGAACACGGTCGTTACATGTCATCAAATCCGTGCTTGTTTGGCTGTGGCAGGGGAATTCCAGAAGGAGCACGACAGGACCTGCATGCAGTGTGACAAGTACTGCGAGCCGGGCAGCTGCGTGGACCACGAGGGCTGCAACCAGTGCAAGCCAGGCTACTACCGCAGCCGCCGCGACCTCTTCTGGCCGTTCCTGTGCGTCCAGTGCTCCGCAGTCATTCCTGGGTGCGAGGTGTGCGAGGATGGCGTGTTCGACCAGCAGCCACCCATCTGCCTGGCCTGCTCCAACGGCAAGCCCCCAGTTGACGGAACGTGCCTGGCCTAAGGTTGGGGAAGCCGTCGCCAGTAGTTTAGTGCCTTTGACTACATCGTAGGGTCTCCATCAACATATATTGCGTCGATGATTCCGGGAAGGAGTTGCCCGCGTCGGCATCCCCACGGTCGTGTTGAAGTTATTGGAGAGGGGCACTGCTGGGCTCGGGTGGTGGATAGTTTATCAAAGAAAATAAGATATTCAATTTTATGTTAAAAATCACGACTTTGGGCCCAAGGGGGCGCGTTTGCCTGCCGGTGCAACAGTATTGGAATGCCGGCTCGACAGTGTCTGAGAACATGCAGAAGAAAGCTGAGGTGCCGGGTGGCCCGAGTTATCGTGCGAATGGCCATCTTGATGAGGCAGCACGGCGCGCCAGGCCTCCTGAGAACAAATCCATTACTGATGGCGAGCGCTTATTCGGTTGTGCAGTGCGGTATGATTTAAGCTTCGCCCGACAGTGCATACTCACCGGCGAGTAGGTCTCATCATTGCTCCCAGACGTGGGACTCTAACTACGAACGCCACGCCAGTTTCGAAAACAGCTCAACTATGAATATGGATGATACGGGGCCGTGGCTGCGAGCTTCGCAGCGCAATACTGTGGCAGAAATGTAAAATAAACGGATAATATTATATTACAGTTCATTGCGAGAGTTTCGAGATTTCCTGGGTTCAGTGTTGGGTGTGACTCCAAATGGGCTACATTGCGGGAATGTGAGGAAGCACCTCGGCGCCGCAAAGATGGCTCTGTTTTCCACGTTTTAACGGCGAGCCTTGTGTGGCGGGGCCCTGGCTGATTCCTTGTGCACACCAGATGTTGCTCCACGCGCCAACTGCATGTGCCTGTTCAGGAATAGGAGTGGCACCGAGCACAGTAGAATACTAATCCTTGTATCATTTACTTCCAGCACTGTGTTTTTCACTGCAGCAGTGAAAACGGCTGGCGAATCTGGCTGGGCACGGCTGCCCGCCGCCTTCCAAAGACGCGTACCTTGTACCGGCAGCATATTGTCTGCTTTGGCGCCTCCGAAATATCCAACAAGACGAAGCGTGTGCGACAATTGATTTTGAATTGTCCAGAGCATGATACATGATGAACAGCCCATCTCGCGTGTCTGATGGCAATACCATCACCACGGTACACGTTGCAGCCTTGAATGTTGCAGACCGGTTGTGCCACGCGACTATCCTGCATCTGCTTGAGCTGCGCAGTTGCCACAGTGTGCCAGTGATATCGCGTTACCACATTGACAGTATTTTGTAGGATATTGCAAGGGCAAGAATCCCTCAACTTGCAAGCACCTCCAGAAACCTCGTGCACATCACAACACATTACCGGTCTGCAATCCGACGCACCATCGCTCAGCTGGAGCAGGTAAACAAATGGCCGCGTGTGCGCGCCCGCACGGTCTCCAAACTTGTATGCGTACACTTCAACAAATTTACCCTTGGGGAATTTGTTAACCGCTGAATGAATTACCAATCATCAGCAGAAAGATGAGAGATAAGGAAGCCACCACTCGCTCCGCGAGCTTGCCAACAGAAATCGATCAGGCAAGTCTGCGCGGTAATCGTGCAAGCTGGAAGCTCAAAGTCCCTGCAAAGGACACAGCATTCCAAGGAAAACGTGATGAGCAGATTGCCATGGAAAGCAAGACAACAGGAACGCAGTTAATCCAACGAGTGAGTTGGCTGTGAACGGATTGTGGGGCAGAAAACTTTCAGCAAGTCAGGTTGAATGCCGACTTCTGAACTGGTAGCTCATTCCTCGCTCAATCATTTTAAAAAGACAGGTGCCGCGTTTTGCTAAACAGTAGGCCCTGAGCAGCCTGGAGTGGAGTATAGACTCAAAGGTACGTTCATGGCAAAAGATTGGGATGAACCAGCAGAAAGATAGGGTCAGTACTTGCATGCCGTGTGTGGCCCTTCGGACAACGTATTAATGCTCCAGTCTTCACGCCGTTAAGGTAGCCTCCATGCGCAGCTGCCCTTTAGGGCTGGTGATCGGATGTTGCTACCTCATTAATGCGAGTATCCGATCCTTTCATGAAAATCGCAATATTTGAGGCGATATGTATGCCTCCGACTCATTATTTCTGCCTCGCCGGTCTCCTGAGCCACCCCGGTTATGTACTCTCTCATGACAAATACTCGCAACCGCACCACAAACCAACGTATTGTACCCGAGGTCCCCATACTCACAGTTTGCCCTTCGCCTTGCTAGTACTTAACGCTTCTCAACGAGTGACTCACCCCATGAGTAAGCTCCCTAATCCCGTACTTCACTTCCTTCACTCCCACTCCATTCCACAACGAACCGAACACCGCTCCCAGGGCGGGAGGGCCGGGAGCGAAACAAGATAAGGAGGGGGACGGGGGGGGCCTAAATAGCCGCCCCCACTCCAACAAAGCCCGCCCAACCCCGAGGGCGCCAAAGCTCAACCAAATTAGCGGGACCTCGTATTTTCGTACTTTGACTGACTCACAGTACTAGGGGTGGCCAGAAAATCCCAAGGCGCAGGGGCTGACCAAACCTTTGAATCACCGGCGCAGCCCACCCGTCGTCTCCCTTGGCAGAAACCCATTAACAAGATAGATAATTTCATTTCTACCATTGATCTTTGTAAACGAAGCCATAGAACTATTATAGTATTCCATGGCTCCCAGCTCACTTCCTCAATAAGTTGCTGCCGAAGCGAGGCACCTCAATTTAGTGTTGGTAAGGAAATGGGGCTGATCAATAAAGCCGAAATGTTTCCACCGATGCATCTCAGTCCTTGTCAATCTAAATCCCATGTCAGTTGACGTTCACAATTGCCACCAACACGCAATCAGACAGCGGCTCCCCCAAGGACCGCACAGGTCGTGGATAACATCGATCGTCGTTCAGTACCTCAATGTTCAGTAGTTTCACAATGATCCAATGTCTCTTCCAGTTTACACACGCATATTTTAACATGTATAACAACACCAACTGCCAAGCGTGTCCCAACTCTGGTATGTCCTGAACTTATACCAGTTTAGCCACTATCAAATTCACACCCCAGGTGATTCTGGTGGTGCTTTGCTGGCTTTTCCCAAAAACAGAGCACGGATTGCTAACCCTTTCAGTCAATTTTTGCGAATGGCACCTTACTTTGAGAAGGTCCTGCTACTTCCTTTCTGTTGTTGGACTTTCGAGGCTTGTGTACGAACATACATTCTTCTTCCATGACTTTTGCTGCATCGCTTCCTCTGCCTATGCTGAGGTATTCTGTGTCTTCACCCACATCATCCTCTGTAGGCCCCGTTGTCTCCGTTGCGCTCGCTGCGTCCGACCGATCTACCATCTCGCCGCAGCGACCACGCCATCAGCAAGGTCGCTGACGGCCTGTTCTTGCTTGCGACCAGGTCCAACGCCATGTTGTCCTGGCCCTGGTCCATAGCTCCCCCTTAAACCGGGCACGACATGAGGCGCTGCCCAGGGGACAGAGTTCTGCCCATTTGCGCGCTCCCACGGCAGGCAAGGTGGACTCGCTGAGCATCGCACAAACTAGCAGCGCGTGGTAGGGCTCCAAGGTGCCCACTCAGAGCGCTCCGTGCGACATGGCGAGTTATCAGGTCCATGACAGACGTGACACACTGCCACGGTAATGTCTTGTGTAAGGCATGCTTCAAATTGCCTGCCAGTAGTCTTTGTTTGCATTTGGGATTCGTCGCGATGCACCAATACGTCATACTGGCCTTTCAAATACCCAGGAACGTTCACCAAATTCTCATAGGTCATTTCTAAATGAGTACTGCTAGGGGCACACCCCTAGCCCATGACAACGATGTCAACAGCACGCCATCCATCCATCAATGGTAATTGTCATTATCATGTAATGCCCAGCATGCAATATCCTATATTCAACAAGTCCAGAACGCTTTCTTTCAAGCTGAAGATTGCCCCATACTGATGCAACAATCAACCATTCTCAAGGCTGCTAATTTCATCGAGAAATATGCAGCATTCTGTCAGCCTTCCTCTCCCTTTTCAGTTTCTTTCCATGACTGATGTTCCTGCCCTGTATAATATTGCGCTCATACACTTTTGTAAGCATGTTCCTGTCATGAATCGGGCAGCACTTCCCCTAAACACCCATGACTTCCATTTTTCTTTAAGTGCCTAATTCTGCAGCTCCAATTTGAATATTTCTGCATCATTTTCCCTTGAGTACTAGAATTGTTAGATCATGCCATTCCCGCTGCGTTGCCGTGCAGCCGTATTGGCTGCATTCTATGAAAATTTTGGCGGCGTTTCCCCAAGGCTTTCGGGGCGTTCAGCCCAGTGAATGTACTGCACTTTCGATTGTAAATCGAAAGAAGAAGTACTACTGCCTCACAACCTTCCTAATATGGTTTCTGGGGCCCAGACCGGTGTTTTGGAGCTTAAAACCAATTCCCATATGGTTCCAACTATTCCTTTCCTCATAAGCCCAAGTTTTTTCTTTCGTGTTCGCAAATGGTCTGGCTGTATACTCTTTATACTATTCATCAACGTGTACAATCTCTCAACCTGCCTTCTCGCTTTTCTGCAACGCTGAGCGGCTGTCCATGTTCTCCTGACCGGCCAAGTCTGAGTTGGTCCCAGTCGGCTGCCATATGTCAGCCACGAGCCCGTCATTGTGCTGACGAGGCGCAATGACTAACAGCGAGTTCAACAACGCTGAAATCGTTGTCCCTGCATTCGGCTCGGACCATTGCTTCATCAGCTTGGCATGGGGCCGAGGGTGCTCTGGGCACAGAAGAGACCATTGTTTCACATTAAGACTGCTGACTGTGTGATGCCCCATCGGCAACTGACGACCCGTCGCCCCCTGGGCACACAGGGCATAAAATTACTGGCTGCACCAAATCGGTGACTGCTTGCACCAAGTCACGCCACGTGTCGGAACACCCTTGCTGAACAGGGACCCCTTGCGCCCACCCCGTGGCAGTTGTCGCCCAAGCCGGCGCCGCTCGGGGCGCCCGAGCTACTGAGCGCCAAGGCCTCTTTGGGTGAGGGAGGAGGGGGGCGCAATGGGAGGCTGGGTCTTGGGAGTGCCCGGCTCACGATTGGCTCCCGACTGCCGCGGGATGGGCAGCCGACGGTGCGCGGCCCCGGTGGACCTAAGATGCACGGCGAGCGGCGGCGGCTGTGTGGAGGACGACCCACGATACCGCAGGCAAGGAATGGTGCCGAACTAAAGGTGGTGGTGCGGGTGGGTGGGGTGGGTGGGGTGGGTGGGGTGCGGGGGGGTAGTTGGGAGATGGGGTCTGAATAATTGGGACCAGGAGTGATGTACTCGCACTGAGGGGCGCGCTGCTGCGGGGCTGCCTGAAGGTTTTTCTCGCACAGGAAGGCGATGCAGAGCTCTCTCGGAGTGCAAGGAGGTGTTCACGCACCCAGAGACTAACATCGGGTTGTTGTGGCGCGCCTGGGGGGGATCACCGGGGTCATAAGGCCGTCAGCAACAGTAATCCCGTGGCTGCTTCCTGTCGTGGATCTTTTGTTGAGCTCAAGAGAAAGAAGAGGATCTTGATCTTTCTTTTATTGATGCAGCTGTTGATTCATTGGGAAAGGGGTCGTGTGTACCTTGCCGCCACATTTGCGCCTATTGTGGGACCACCACTCTGCTTGATCCTTGAGCGCGCCATCCAACCGTTTATGCCATCATTGTCTTGAGGCCGCATGTGTGTGATTTGCCAACCGCAACAGCATGGGTGGGAGACTGGGTAAGATTTTTTGCTTGCGAAGAGAAAAAGCAGGTCTTATGAAGGGCATGTTGCCCTGACCACACGTGTGCCTGAGGCTGTTTTTCGTGCTATGACAGATGTTGTGCAGTCTCCCAGTGACACAACCTCATTTGTTGTTGCAACTTCAAACACATGGCTGCTTTACCCAACAGGATAGATTTCTCACGAGAGATGGCACACAATGTGCGTGTGGAGCTGGCAAGAAACCTTGCCCTTGGGGAGGCACGCATGGATGTGGCCCTTGCGGCACTACAGATCGCTGCAGAGGACGATGCAATAGGTCTGGATAGTTTGTGCTTGTCTGTTGTGCTTCATGTATATGTGTGAGGATTATTCAAGAGAATTTCCCCATTTTTCTGCATCAATTTCAGTTCGAGTATCAATACGGTTGATCAGATTACATGCAAGTTCAGTGGTGATGCGCACTGTACACCATGTGGATGCAAATCTCCAACCATGTCTTCAAACTTGAATGTTATCCATGAATGGGACCAATCCTGTTTATGTCAGCTCAAGCAAATTTGGACAGGAAGGGTAGAAGATAGGTAAAGGAAATTGCACGAGTTTGAAGACAAGAAAGGCTGCTAATTTAGTTTGGGCTTGTGTGGTGACACTTGTTGGATGGCAAGACGTTGAAGTTGAGCATCCTATTGTATCTCGCAAAATGTTTGAAGTAGTGACAAATCGCCACATGATGTGCCCAGCAACAATTCAAAATGTTTTTCCTGGTTGGTGGCATAAGGTGCTAACGTAAGGGGAGGTAAGGAGGGGAAAGGTGCTGATCATGTACAGGGCGTAGGATCTATGGGAACGAAATCAAACCTCTTGTTCTTTCTTTAGCAGTGAACTTGCCAGCTCAGTGCAACCTTAGGCCAAATCATGGAATCACTTGCCCTTTCTTGCAAGCAGCCACCCAACCTGAACATTCGTATAGCTGCTAGGCCTGATGTTCTGTGTGCCTGTTTCAGTGTCGCTGTCATCGGTTCCATTTCCCATCCAGAGTTTCCTGGCACGGATAGAAAGGCTGGCCAGCGATGTGGGGGCAAGGCTGAAAGGGCAGCATGGATCGACACCTGTGCCTGTGGACATCACACTCCCCCTAATGGAGAAAATTTTCTATGCCGAACAACGCTTCAAGGTGCCCCCGTTTCTGAGGTCCAACATTCCAGACAGGTGAGTTCCAGTGGATGTTGCCCTTTCAGGCAAAAACAGAAAGACACATTTGTGTCTCTTTCACAAGTAGAGACTAGCTAAATTGCGACGGGCTGCAGACCGCACGTAAAACTTCGCCACTGGCGGCGATTTGTGGAGTGTTGGGCTAGCCACGAACGAAAGCCTCGATTCAAGGATCAATCGAGGCACAATTTCAAAGCAAAGCTACAGCGCAGCCTCAGAGTGATAGCCCGCACAAAGCCCAAGCTTGAGCGTCTGGGGCATCGGCCTTTTCCACTTTTGTGGCAAGTCCGAGCATCGGAGGTCAGGGATGGCAGCGATTTTGGCCATCGTTGATACCGTGGCAATGGGCTTCTTCGATGGGGATCCAAACACAGTTGAGCATGTTTGACAAGAGCTATACCACATGAGGGACTCTGCCCTTTGCCATGACAACAACAACTAGTTTGCTTTGGCACGCCTGGGACGGCAACGATCTAGAACATCGCAGACGTCCAACGGCCGCCGAAACAGTATGTGCATTTTTCGGCTGAATTTTAGGCAATTTGGAGGTGTCCCATGGGAAATGAGACTGAACATTTTCCCAAAAATTGGTAGTCGAGGGTTTTGGGGCCCAATCTTTTCGATTCTGGACTCCTTTTGTGATTTTTGAGGCCGTTTTTGTAACAAAATTTTCTCCCAAATAGACAACAATTAATTCCGGACAAAGGAACTTTCATTTTTGTCTAGCAATTTGGCAGATTCTCATAACTGATGATATTGACAGGTAGCTAACAGTTGTGTTGGCAGCTTGATTGTAAGAGTCCAATCGGAGCTTCCAGGAACATACAGTACCATGGAATTGTCAAGATGCAGACTGTGTCGCCACAAAGGTGCTTATTACTAGAGTGCTATTTCTATTGCCCCTCCTGCACGTTGCTTGCCCCTTGGTGCCATTGGCTGTGGCTGTGATTGAGGCCGCCTGGGCAAAAACTTGCCACCCAATCCTGGTGCCTGCTTGCTTTCTAGCTGCTCCTGGTGCACTTAGAGACACCTCCACCACAACCAGGTAAACTCTTGAATGTCCTGCTCAAGACAACGATGCCCAGTGCACGGCAGATTCTCTGTGGGTTCAATCATCGGCAGCCATCTCAAGTTGTCATGTAACACATGTTCAACACATTTGACAAAATGTTTAGTGACCGCATGCCTGGCTCACAATGTGTTACACACATGGAATGTTCATGATGCTGATCTGGTCAGGTCGATCGTCGCCCACCCAGGTGTGTGGGAGAATGCTGCCTATGCATACCTGCATGAACTGCTGATTAGAAGGGTTGGCATTCCAGCCACTGTGGCAATACTTTACCACGATGTCATGCGTCGACTACTATTGGAGGGGGTGGTAGATTTTGTGATTGGCATGGACATGAGGCAAGTGGACCCAAAATGACTTTTGCATCATACTGCTCAAAGTCAAAAATCGCATGTCAGCTCCTCTTGACGTAACACACAAGCAGCTACGCCATGGCTCTGCGGATAGCTCATGATATGGCGCTTCAAAATTGTATTAGTCATTTTTCTGACTCACACATTTGGATGCTGTTTGTGCAAGTTGGAGATCGAACATGATTTCTGAGACAGAGGTAGTGTATATGGTCATTGTGGCTCAAAATGTTACTTCACTCAAGAACGTTATGTTGGCTGCCATCCTAATCCCCACAGAACTGTAAGTTGTGGTTGTTCATTTCAGGGACATTGACAACTGAATGCTATGCCACTGGCCCTTGCAATAAGTTCAAATGATGTCCATGTCCAGATAATGCAATTCAGAGTGCTACTTACGCTCTTGTTGAAAGCTGCCTTATCGCAATCTACCCCATGTTCAAATCCTCGCAAGCCGATATTCCCCTTAAGGTGTGTGCCATGGTGTTGTGAATAACCATTTGAACAGTTGCCATATTGCACAGGTCACTTTGAATCATGCCAGCCTGGAGTGCAGTCCACAGCTGATTGGCATCAATGAGCAGTATGGCTCAACAACTTGGTTCAGTGTGCAGAGCTAAATGTCAGCAAGTCATGAAGAACAAAATACAATGATGAAACAGTGGAGTCTATGGTGCAGGCCCCGCTCTGGCAAGCACAACTGAGACTGCGTTCGCCTGCCTTGCAATTTGGAACTCTGGGCTCTTGCTGCAGAACTGCATTGCATCATTTATACCCAGCTGTATGAATCTGCAGTTAGTCCCTCGACCACACTGGGTAAGTCACATATAGCCCCTTGATTGCATACAGTGGCATTGACAAATCATACACCGACATGAGGGCAAAGGGCAGGGCTGCACAGACAACAAAGAGCAAGGGCTGTATCCATAATGTAGATTCTTGTATGGCCCAGGCACATCCTAACTTCCAGAAGGGAAAAAGAGCGGGTCGCCTGTGACTTCCTGATGAGATCTTCAAGGAACCGTCCTCTAAATTACTCAGGATTTGTTTCAATGCCACGAATCCTTTGCCTGACAGCAACTTTAGATCCTGGGTAATTCCTGGCAAACAAGCATGCAGCTCCAAACTTGAGTTGCATGAAAACATGAGCTGAATCTGTACAACACCACGAACGCCAGCTGCTCGAATTGGATTCTTCCTTGCTGAGTTGAGCATCCTTTCTGCTGCAGGGAGTTCTCAGACATCCCGCAGCCTAAGATTATGCCAGGCTTGACACGGGAGCTGGTAGTGCGTGACAATGGAACTGTGCTGAACACCTGCAATCCGGATGCCCTGAGGGAGATGCTCAGATACCTCAAACGGTCTTTCTGGCCATTTGCCTGGGATGCTTCGTTGGGCGCTGATGGTGGATTCAGGTGAGTTTTGTGCAATGTGACCTGCGACTGACCATCAGGCAAGGGATCGGTGGGGGGCATGCTCCAAGGGTGTGTGCCATGTTGTTGAGGGCATTGATCGGTGGGCGTGAGAATTCAGCACAAACTATATGCGCATTGCTTCCCTGTCACAATGTGGCAGACATGGTCATGTCCCCACAAGCAGGAATCTCAGCCCCTAACTAGGGAGAGCACTGTCTCACTGAGGAATCCAAGAGCACAGTGCTCATTTCCGTGATGCTAGGCTGCTTCAACTACATCGTCCCCAAACGCAGAAACACCACGATTCCCAAGCAAGGCAGTTATGGGCACTTTCCCTCCATGCCCTCAGATCCATATCTGCAAAGTGGCTCCTCACAGTGGGAGAGCTCTGGTGGTCTACCAGACAAGGAAAGAGACAGGCCATCCCGAAGTGGCAAAACTATGGACCGTGGTGAACGAGCCATGCCACATAAACTGCTTGACCCATCAGTCTAGATTCGACCCAACAGCCTTGTGCATGGTTAGGTCCACAGTATTTGCACATTGGGTATCTGTCTGCAACAGTTTTCCATGCAAATTTTTCACATCATTTGGATGGCATGTTCATCCTCATTCCTTGTTGAGCCATTTGTGGAGACCAACCAGAATGCAAAGGCAATCAGCCCGTTCAGTGTCTAAGGTAATTCTTTGCTTACAAGTGAATTAACCTCCATCTTTATATTTTTCTATCAAATCGCTTGGATCTCCAGACATCAGCATGAACATTCCTAGCGATTGCATTCCTGTAGAGGCACTCCCAGCCGCATCACCGGCCAACACTTAATGGTACAGTCGCAGACTTTCAGTAGTGCTGAAGGAATTTTCACACATTTTGTTATTAGAATAAACAAAGCCACACACGTGCTTTCTCTGTGCAAAAAGCTGCCCGTTTTGTATCAACGATTGTCAGTTGAGATGACTGCTCAACGAAAATTGATGGTCATTCCAATCCTGAGCAAATTTTGCGATGGCTTCATTTTCTAACCAACTATGCACATGATGATGGTGTGCATTTGTGCTGCCCAGTTTGTGGCTTAATCCTCTTGGACTGTGCCAAGGTCTGCACTTTCGGCAGCCCTGAATCCAGGCGCAGATGCCCACCTGGAAATAATCTCCCGTGCTGCCAAGCACCGCCTGGATCGAGGGATATCCACAAGCCCAGGTGCTGGTGACATCAGAAGGGCATTAGCGGCATCAGAACGACTAGTTATGCTGTGCCATGGTGACCAGCAGGAAAGGTGTGAAACATGATCTATCTTCGCACATTTCTGATGCTTGTCTCAGGAGAAGTTGGTGTTCAGTTTACAGCCCGTTGGATGCGCATGTCATGCCACGAAAATGCTTGCTTGAACTGAGTGCTTGCTCCACCCATGTTCAATTTCATAGCATTCCATTCTCGAAAGTGGCTCGGCAAGCTTCTGTGCTGCCTTATTATATTCCAGGATTTGTTGGCAATCCCCATCATGCTATTTGCCTGTCCAGTCTTCCTGCTGACACTCTTCCTGGTCTGCAATCGACAGGTGAAGGGATTGCCCCCTCCATGCACATCCAAAATTTTCCCAGTTCCTTCTGTGCTTTTGATTCCATATTTGCAACCCACACAGTAGATTTAGACAGAATGAGAATGCAATCATGAGCCCATTGGAGACCTTTGCCCATGACAGGCGTGACTTGGCCATTCTCCTGTACCATTGCGGAGAGATGAGTAGGGCCATGGTGGAGCTGTCAGCATATTGCGGAACTGGGGCCTTTGAGGATGAGACTTCAACCGACAAAACGGCACTGAAGCAGCTGCTGTCTCGACTGAAGTCGCACAGCATAACTGGAGAGCGGGCACAGTGAGTACCCTGCATTCTTGTGCGCTTGCATGACTCAGATGATTGCCGATGACTGAATTTGTACTGATGATTATGTGTCGCCCTCCCTGGGCAATATGCCATGTGGGACAGCAGTTTTCTTCCATTTTGTCACATACACTGTTGTGCATTCAGGGCTTTGTGCTGCCAGGAGGCACTTATAGAACTGCTTGAGTAAGTGGGGCTGGCGGATGGGTGGTAAAGAAGGCACGCCTGAAATTGTCAAGGAAAGGGACTTAAGAAGAACTTGCTTAGCTCAATGCTTGATGTACCTATTGGTTACGCGATTACCAATAATTTCAAAGTATATGCTGGCTCGTTGCCATTCGTGCAAGGATGCTACCAGTTCCGCTTGATGCTCTGAAAAGCAAGCAAGTCATTTCTGTATGTGGCTGTTTCTGCTTGAATTGGCGACAAACAAAAGTGCCATGCAGCGATCTGCACACCTTGTTTCAAAGGACACTGGTGACTTGCCCATCTTTGTTGCAATTGGCCATTTGTCAGACTGCCTCTGCCCACCAAACCCTAAGCGTTGCCCTCTGATCGCTAGGCTGACGACGATCGAGAATGTCTTGGCGATGCCTCCACCACAGTTCGACGCCAGCCAGAGGGTGCCTCTCTCATGGTGACATGTTTCCTGAGCCAGCAGCGCTGACTGTGCCCTTGCGGGCTACCAGCACATACAACTGCCAAGTGGCCAGAGTTGTAGAGTTGCGTGGGACACCTGCCACCTTCGTATTTTTCTCAACTCCACTCTTTTGACAGACTTTGATTTGATGCTCCTGGGTATTATTTTCTAATAGGATTAGCTGGTCCGTGCACAGTTGGACATCCAATGACAGCCACAAATCATATTACTGCTTTAGAAAAGCCCGATCTCACCTCTCTAAGTCTGCATGGCTCAGCACTCCTGGTCATATGCTGGCACAGTGCGTCACATGATGTATCTGGTGGCTGTGGACGCGTGGGAGCGCTGCTGCAAGGCCAAAGTAGGGCATTATCAAATTTATGGCAATGTGAGTGCCCTCAACAGGGCAATCGGCAGGCACAGTTGAGCTGCCGAATTGGAGGCCTGCCAGCAGAATGGGCGTTGAAGCGTGGAAGCTGCAAATTGAAGCTTGGAAATGCTGGGGCTCCAGCGCCTTGCGTCTCACCCATGAGATCATTGACATTGCTTCTCTCGGGCAACAAGTGGACCTGATGGCTGGATCCTTGTGTTGATCTGTAACATTATCCTGATGTATTGAAGGGTGGAAGAATCGGATCCCATAGGACTCGAGGACTGTAGCTGACGTGTCTCGTCAATATAGAGCAATCAGACTGGAGTATGACCACCATGTTGGCCAGGCTACCATGCACCCAAAGCCAGCCAGCAAGAACTCGCCTAGTGGGAAGCACAGACTTCACTCTCATCGCCGTTCCAATGGCACCCACTCGCAGCCCCACTGGCAACTCTCACAAGGAGCTCGGGCTTGGCATACTCGTGAGTCCAGCTCCAAGTTCGAACACACAACTTTCTTTGCTGATGGCCAACGAAACACGACTAGCATTTTCTTCTTACAGCCACCCTCCTGCCTATTTGTATTCCTTTGATCCTCATCGTTCGCAAATGCCCACACATCATATGGGAACTTATCACTCGTGTAAAGCGATGTACAGAACATGCCACAGGCGTTCTATTCATCAGAAATCAGTTTGACGTATGGAGTACTAGAAGTGAGAAGAAAGCCGACCAAAATGTTGTGAAGTTGTGGGGAAAAAGTATATCCACAAGTTCCCCACGAGATCCCTTGTGAACAAAACACCTTGTTCAAGGTATTTTCTTTTGAACTGCGTCGTGTTCTTGCACGGAAGCCAGTGTTTTCCCAACAAACATGGGCGTAATCAAAACTGCATCCATTGAGCCAGAATACTACCGCCGTCCCAAATTAAATTGTGGCCATGATTTGCAGCCCTAGGAAAAAAACTAAATCATCTCAGAATTTCACCAAATTTTGTTACAATGTTTCAGTTTAGGTTTAGTTTGTGCTTCCAAATGTTTGAGCCAATCGGCCAAGTAATCATTGTGCAATACCATTCTGAATAGACTCCGCTTCTCCGAATATACCTCAATTCCTCAAGGTGGCGCTAAAACCGCCTATTTCCAGGCCCTTAACCATGTCACCTTGTGATGGCCCCCCCGGTGCAAAGTAACAAGAGTTGGAGACGGGCTTTAGATTGCAGGTCGCAATCTAGGAGCAAAGATACAAAGGTGAAGGGCAGACCGCCAACACACCTGGAAACGCATGGTTGAAGATCTCACCCATACATTACCACTTCGTGGTGAACAACTAAGATCATTGGCAAGCCGTTCCGGAATGCAATCAACGATCCCAAGGGAATGGACTCGTCCGGCCTATGGCAAGGGAACTGCGGAAGTCCCAGTACACATGGGAGCTATTTGCAATGAGAGTTGAAAATATCACCTGTCACATCTGGCGCAAAATTGAGGGAATGGCGATGGAGGCAAAGGCAGGCGAGATCCTCGATCACGCCTTTCCGGTCGAATTCGCAGCATGCCCTTTGCTCTTGTACCTCTGCTCCAACATGCAGCTTGAAGTATGTCTCCAAGTCGTGTCACTGCAGGCGTTAGGAACTCTACAAGGTGGCATAGTCCACGGCCTGAAACGGGCAGTTTTGGAGCCACTTAAAGTGCTTGGCTGAGTGACATATGTTCAAGAGGACATTGCGGATTCAATACTTAGACAATTGGCTCAGAAATTTCATAACACAAACCAGACTCAAATTTAAACATTGCAACAAATATTGGTGAAATTCTGGTATGATTTTTGGGTTTTTCCAGGGCTGCAGATCATAAGTGCGATTTAATTTAGGATGGAGGAAGTATGTTAAAAAATTCCAGCAGTCCACAATAAAAGCTCATGATCTAAACGGCTTTCACAATGGTGGGTTGCTCAAGTAATCCCTTGCCATGAGCCATGCTTTTGAAATTCAGACCAGTTGCTCGCCATAATTTACCCACCCTGCGAAATGGCGGTCGTTATGTGGCAACACAAACACCTATACCATAACACAGAGCATGTCATCCCCAAACTGAAAACCCAGCCCATCTTTGGACACATTTTTAGAAATTCGACAAGGGGCGAGCTGCAACGGTTTCATTGCAAGACTCCACAATATGCAGGCCCCTGCTCCGGTTCCAGCATGTCCTACAATTGACTGATAATACCTTTAGCCAAACTGTTTTTCGATTCGAGACTTAGTGCATAGCTGGTTTTTACAATGGTGCCTTATCCCCAAAAGAATGTCAATGCTGCCCGCCTCAACCAACGAGTTCATTACCGCCTGCATGTCATTACATTCCCTTCCCGTTCCGGAAGGTGACGCCCGCCTCATGCACCCCAACGCCCCAGCCCACACCAACCCTGCAGGAAATTGAATGCACCCAGCACCATCCGCCAGCACTCTGGCGCTCCTGACATATCCCCCTGAAGCGGTAATTCGAGGCCTGCATCATCTGAAGAGGAAGATCCTCGTGACGACCAAGTGACGTCTCCGAAGAACAGTTAATGGAATAGATGTTATGGGAATTGCCCAGGGGCGTGGGGCATAGTTACGGCAATGCGGTGTAAATCTGAGTGAGTGGTAGTGTGGTTGACGCTGGCAGATTGATTGGGAAGTTCGGGGATCAGGATTCTGTGGTGGACGGGCGGTTTGAGAACAGTTTGGACGATAACTGTGTACGGTGTACTTGTAATGATGTATATATGTGAGGGAGCCGAGGTAATCTGCGCCTTTTCGCTCCGCTCTGACATTCACGATACCGACTCGGTGTTCAAACGACCGCATCTGCGTGAGGGCTTTGCCCTTCGAAGTGGACCTTCAATTACCGGCTCACCCCCTTGAACGGGATTCCATATTCCCCGCACCTTCGCTCGACACGTGAAGGCCGCGGCGCCCCCACACAGCCGACCTGCTTCAAAAGCACGCCCCTCCCCCACCCCAGCCCCACCCACCCGCCCACTCCACGCGCCCCTCCCCGCTCCAAACCACAGGCCTCCACAGCCCGCAGCTTGAGATCTCCGCCCTCAGAAACTCGTTCCGATCCCAGCCAGCGCACACGCACGCGATGGACGGCCGGCCACGCCAGCCCCCGGGCGCGGCAGGCCCCCCCCCTGGCGATTCATCCACCCCTCCCGCCGATCAGCCCCCGGGGGATTCAGGCGCCGGCGCGCAGGTCGACTTCAACGACCTGTTTTCCCTACGCCGGCCCAGGGACGCGAGGGCGGGATTCGCCAGTGGGCTGAAGTCGATCGCCAAGGGGCTGGTTGGCGGCACGGCCAGCCTGGTCGCTGCGCCGGTGGTCTACTCCCAGCAGGAGGGCTGGAAGGGGCTGGGCAAGGGATTGGCCGTCGGCGTGGCCACGGCCGTCGTCCTGCCCGTGACCGGCGCGGTGGTGGGCACGACCCAGATGCTGCGCGGGCTGGTGAACACGCCGGAGGCGATCTACGAGGCGGCGGTGAACGGGCGGTACTGGGACAACGTGAAGCGGGAGTGGGTTGACGAGCCGCCGATGCCACTGGTGGAGCAGGCGCAGCCGGCGGGGGGCGGCGGGGGGCGGGGGCCACCAGGTGGGGCGGGCGGGGATGCAGGGGGGAGATCGGAAATTCGGAAAGTAGGAAATCGGGGAATTGGGAGGGGCATCTGTGTGGGTGGGTGGGTGGGAGGGGGCGGGCGTTGAGGGGTTCCGAAGCTTCACGCTTGGGGAGGATTTGGGGCGGAGACGTTGGGACTCGGAACGATCGGCGGGTGACAGGGATGTCGGGATCTGGGATCTGGGTGGGTGGGGAAAGGGAGGGGAGCCGGAGAAAATTGTCGAGGGGCAATGTGGGGGACTGGGGATGGGTTTGTGCTGCCAGTTGGGCGACCTGGCCCTTAGTGCACACCCCCTTCCAGCCAGCTGCAGCTCGGAATTGTCTGGCGAGCCGTTCTTGGCACATCCAGATCCTCACTTGCCCTCATTGCTTCCACCCAGCACTCTGCACCTCACGCAGCTTGCTTGTCCAAAACTCTAGACTCTAGGCAACAAGACGGCAACCTTGATCTGCACTCCAGGGCCAGTGGACATTTTCACAGGTCAATTGCACACACTTCCCCTGCACTGAGTTGACTTGGTGTTTCTGACATTCTGCAGAATGCAAAGTCATGCTACACATCACTTCCTTGACCGAACAATGTACCAAGGAAAACAGTTTATATGTATCAGCATGTGCACCACCTTCATTATTCAGTGCCAAACCACTGCACTGACAGCCTGTGTGTTTGGCTTTGTTGCTGAAAGGATGGGATGTGTTGAAGTTCACAGTTTGCAGCAAGGCAACTGTTGATTTTCCCTGCCCCTCAGCTATCCCTCAGTTTCTTGCACCCTCTGATAACTTGCAGAGGATGACATGATGTGCCCCTCACTTTGTTTTGCCCACTGCGAAGTTGAGGGAGGCTACTATGAGATGCTGAACGTGCCAACCAACGCCACCCAGGAGGAGATCAAGCGCCAGTACTACCTCCTGGCACGCCAGTTGCACCCAGACAAGAACCCCGATGACCCTCAAGCCAAGGAGAGGTTCCAGAAGCTGGGAGAGGCGTACCAAGTTCTGGCAGACCCCGTGCTGAGGGCCAACTATGACCAGAATGGGGCTGACTCACTGAATGTCAACTTCATGGATGGGTCCGAGTTCTTTGGTATGCTGTTCGGATGCGAGCAGTTTGAGTACTTGGTGGGGGAGCTCTATATCGCTGCCACTGCCAGGATCTCTGTGGACGTGTTTGATAAGGTAGGACCATCCTTTCAGGCAAGTGCTGTGCCGCAGCAATGTGGCATGCAGTACTCGCACAGCAGCTCAACAAGCACAGGCATGTTGCTCATCCCCCTGGTCCATTGTTTAGTGCCCTCCCCTACTCCAACTGTGGTACACTTAACCTGGTAGGATATATGCCTGGTTCCCTGAACTTCAGGCAAGCGGGGTGTGCAAACTCGATTACCATTGTTGGAACAACTTGGTTGCCCTGCTTCACTCTGGAATTGTTTGGGCATATTTGTTTTTGCACTGATGAACACTGGCAGGACACGATTGTATTGGGCAGAGGCATTATTATGCAATGCTGTATTTTGGGGGGGCAATAGCAGCAATATGGCTATTGAGCAGCATTGCCCTGTCTGAAACAGGCAACAGGTTCCAAAGGTTCCCATGCTGTTGCCGAGCTGGTTGTGACACCTCTAAAGACACAGTTTTAGGATAGCTGAACTTTGAACAACCTGGGCATCGAAAGGAGCATTTTGCTTGGTTCAATGCAATCTGCACAAGCTTTATCATGGAAACTTGCCGCTTTGCAATATGCTGGTCAATGTTGTTTTTGTCCCTTTTTGTGTTGCCTTCTGTTTGATTTGGTTCAGTTTAGTGTTTCTTGCTGCACTAATGGCACGCACGGGAAACAGAGAGTTGCACATTTGTTGGCAGTGGATTGTGTCCTGCCATTGTGCTCACGCCCCATAGCATTGGTAGAAATCTGAACTGTGCTCATGTGGGTCAGCCGAAGGGCTATTGTCGTTCAAGGTTCAAGAATTTGGGGTTTGCGGGGCTTCAGTTCTCTGGAATGTACAGGGTGCTGGACAACAGGGATGAGGGTTGAGGGTTAGTCACATTCTGCCACCTGTCCTGACACACACTTGTAGCATGTAGGGGCACGAACTTTGATGCTAAAGGATCTCATGATGACAATCTTGCTCTGCTGTTTCACACAAGCATGCTGCAGGGATCTTGTATGTGTGGATGTCTCCATGTAGGTGCATCGCATCTCAACAATCAACCAACTCCATGCTGTAGAGCACACAGTGGTCCCAGCTTTTTGTTTGACAAGGGGGTCATCTCCACTTGTGCACCACTTGCACAGTGTTGTGCATCAGCATATTCTGCCTGGGCATTCAAACTTGACCCCAAGTGCTGATGAAGTACTAAGTATTGAGAAGAAAAGTAATATGAACAGCAATTGTATAAGTTGTAAGTTTGTGCAGTGGTGTTGTGGCTGTTGTGCACCCTAGCCATTGCAACTGAAATGCTACTCCAGTAGTTATCTACCTACAGTCCTGGGCTCCTCATCAAACAGGCCATAGCCCTCATCAAACAGGCCATAGTGTTAGATTGGATCCTGTCCTGGAGCTATGCGCTGCTGCGCCACGTCCAAAGAAGGGTGCCAAGGCGTTCCTTGGGCCTAGCAGCATCCTTTGGCATTCGCAACACTTTTCAATAGCTTGTAAAGTGTCCTCAAACAGCAGGCTATATCATCAGACCTATTGGACACCAGATTATTGATTTCATGATCTCAGTACCTTGTGACAGCAGCTGCTGTTCTCTCATCGGTGATGCTGCACTCTGGCACCATATCAATGTCCCCTCTTCTTCTCTGTGTCAGCTGTGGGCCTGAGTAGCTCGTCTGTGCAACAGTCAATGGAGAGGGTCCAATACGAACGGGTTGAGAAGTTGGTGACGAACCTCAGAGCCATCTTGGAGCGCTACGTCCAAGGGGACAAGGAAGGCTTCATTCTAGCGCAGAAGGAGGAGGCCACCAGGCTATCCAAGGTGTCATTCGGTGACACCATGCTGTACACGATCGGGAAGGTGTATGAGCACCAGGCAGACATCTATCTTGGCGACGTCTTCCAGAGCACCTTTGCCAGGATGAAGCAAAAGGGGGACACAATTAGGTACTTCATCTGCCCCCAATTGCTGGATAAGGATAAGAAGTTGCAGTATTCATGTTCCTGCCAGTAATTGGTGGGTGAAATCCCAGTACCTCCAGCGACAATGAAGTGCTCCAGCACAAACGGTGTTCGCCATCGTTTCCACCTGTTCCATTGCATTTTGCCAGTTGGGCAAAGCAGCGCAAGAAAAGGTCCCCTATCCAGCAGGCTCTTGAAGCACATCCTGAATGGCGCTGTGCTTCGTTTCAGCCTGTCCTTTCCTTGTGAATCCTCGGGATATTGTGATGCCAATCTGGCACTCAACTCTGAAGAACTGCTGTATTTTGTGTATGCTGCCATGTTTCTAGAAGACATGCTTGGTTGATGTGAACCTTATTTTCTGCATGTTTGGCACTCCAGTTTAATGAAATCTGCCTTGCATCGCCACTGAGGAGGATTATGGCATAGCATTGAGCCAAATTTTTAGCTGAATTCAACAAAAACAGTTTTCAATCCATCCCATGTGGCACTCAGGTCATATATCGGGGCAGCTGTGAGTGGTGTGAAAGCGTACAAAGCGCAGAAGCGTCTTGAAAAGTGGGATGAAAGCCACCAGGGCGAAGAAGCCTCATCCCCAATGGCGACCCCAGCTGAGGGCAGTGATGGCGCCATTCCTGATGGGCCACCCCCCGAGACAACAGGCGAACAGCAGGAGTCTGTGGCGCCAGAGGGGCAGACTGACCCGCAAAAGGCATACGAAGAGATGATGGCAAGGCACCAGATGGAGGAGGATGCGATGCCGGTGGTGCTCGAGGCGATGTGGGCGGCCAACGTCATTGATATTCAGAACACCATAAGAAGGGTGCGTCTACACAGTGTGCGGTTCTCCGTAGATTGCCTGTCCTAAACTATTGCCGCACATGGAACAGAGGGAAGTGAAGCACACATTGTTTTGTGGCTGCTATGGAACAAAGCTAGTTGGGAGCTTCTCCGGTTGCATCTGAACAAGTCTTTTCCGTTGATGTGCTGTATCGCACCCGCCATGACTTCAAATGTAGAGGCGACATGTGCTCAGCATTTGAGCTGTTGAATAAATGACCGTCTCACTGGGCATGGAGTGTGGGTTCAAACACCTTAATCTGGAACGATGTATGGCCATCGTGTGAGCAGTTTTGTGAGCATCTGCCCAACAAGGAAGAAATTAACTTGTGTCAGATTGCACAACACTTGGTTTGTGAGCCAGCACATTCCAGCTTGGGGTTGTTGTGGGCCGTCTGCACTTTCCTCTGTTGGAATCTGTTTCGATGCCAGTGTTGGTGCCTGGCCATGAGCCGGGATGGAAATCGGCTCAATAGGCAGCTGCCCCAAATTTTTTCCCCCTTCAAGACTCTGCTGACTCACAAGTAGTTCCTGAGCTGGCCCCATGTGATTTGAAGGTGTGCAAACGCTTGCTGAACGACGGCACCAGCAAAGAGCAGAAGGCCCTCAGCAGGGTGAGGGCTGAGGGCCTAAAGGAACTGGGCAAGATTTTCGTGGAATATGGAAGCCAGGGAACCGGAACGGGGGTGGAGAACACGGAGGGGGCAAAGAAGACAATGGAGGACGCGATGATGCGGGTTGTGGAGAAGCGCCATGCCCAGGACGACGCAATGCACAAAGCGGAGACATGATCGACACAGTTGTGCAGCTGGTGCAGCACTTGGGCAGTTCAAGCAGCTTCACATGTGCCCAGCTCTTGTTGATATCTAGCGTGGCTAGGCGTGATTGCAGTGCTGGGGTGCAGGGCGCGGTTGTGTGCATGATGTCTGAAAGACCCAGGTTTGGCTGTACTTTATTCGTGTGCAGATCTTGTGCAGTGGTTGCAGCTGTCACATCTCCATGTCCCTAGAGGCCCATTTGACGGGGCGTATGCTTGAACGGTGGGTTTGCCCCAGATCAGTGCATTTGTTTGGTGTAGGCAGTAATTTAGTAGAACGATTAACCCTGATAGGCAGAAATTGTGAACCACTTTCAGTATAGCTCCCAGCCTTTCACGGTCCGCTGCACTGCACAATTGCCTGTGGGGTGGTACGCGGGCGTTATCTAAGAATGCAGCACCGCGGTGCGCCTAGCTCATCTTACTGCACAATGCCTTGAAACGCGCATGTGGCAGGCACAGGGACAGCAAGTGTGTGGGCCCCATCAACTTGCGATGCTGCTGTGCCAATGGATTCGTGTGCCATGCTGTGTTAGCAAACGAACACTTGGGAACCGCCTTGTTCAATTGCACTCCCAGAAAACAGCTCGACACTGAGCAGCGGTAGTCACTGTGCGGTACGCTGCCCGCCCGCTGGCACGGTCAGGAGCGGATTCACAGTTGAAGACGCAGAGAAGGGCAAGGAAACTGGCAAGAATGATATGGCAACAGATTGAGTCCAGATTGTTTGTATACCAATGGAGCACAGGTGGGCGGCTGCTTGCACGCGGGTTGAATACAAATGGGAAGCTGTCTATATGCGGGCTGCATACATGTGGGCGGCCGTTTGTATGCGGGTCGCGTACAAACACATCCTGCACGGTGGGGGAGCCCTGTCGGACACTGTGATCAAGATCGGCGGTCTTTCATCCGGTAAGGTTGCCACCTTTGCGCAGGCATTTGGCAAATGTCGATTCAGCCAGCAATTTGTTGGGTCTGAAGTTGCAAACATGGTGCACAAAAGTTCCACTACATTCTACAAATCCCAAATGTTTGGAACCCACATTTGGGTGGTATCCGTCACTGCCATCTTGCACGGGAATTAGCAGTCTGCCACCCCCGGTTGTTGGAATTCGTATCTGTTTACTACGTCGCCATCTTCAACTAACCTTTGCAAAAAAGGGCTTCTCTCTTCTTACACAGGAAACCGTGTTGTACACTTTCATGAACACAGGCCATGTTTCTTTATTCCGGGCTGCAGTGCTGTTTGTGTGGGCTGCGCAAAAAGTGATTTGGCACACAGGTCGATGGTCTCTGAAACTGCAAAAAATGAATTCGGCGAACTGGATGGGGTCTAAAACGTGCACGTGGTGCACAAAAAAGGTCACCGAAACTGCAACTGGTCAGTATCTCCTATGTCCAACCAATCGATGGTGTACGTCATGCAATGTGCTGCTCCTCGCTTCCAGCATCTGGCATGTTTCACGGCACATAGCAAACTCACATCCAGTGGTACCGGCTAGATTGCCATGGGTGTGGGGCTCCTCACCGGCAAGCCAACCAAAGTTGTGGATGGCGTGAGAGGGAGCTGCAGGGAAGTGGGTCCTGTTCTTGAAGAACGTGGCCAAGAACTGTGCGCCAGGATGCACCTCTCCTTCCATGCTGGCTGCGATCACCTAGAAGTTCAGTTCGTCCATTAAACACAGAGTTGCTGAATGGCAGCCCGGGACAACACATCCGTCAGTTTGATGCCCAGTTCAATGGCTTCGGCGTGCTTTGCCAGCTCGGTGACTGCCTGTTGTTGGAATGTCTCGATGCCATGCCCCACTTCCTGAAAGCTTTCCAATTGGCACTGCCAAAATAACTACCTTCTCAAAACTGCTGTTGGACCAGCCATGGTACTTACTGGTGAGGGGTAGCATCAAAGACGACACAACACACCGACCCAGCTGTGAAAAGGCATGAAAAGGCATTCAGCAGGCTCTCACTTGGGTGCGCCGTGGCACAATTTACTCTCCCAAAGATGTTTGAGATGGCCCCAGTCCTCAGGCACAATCCGATGCATCCCATGTTGTTGGGCCTTTTTGTGTGAATGCACCCTGCATCCCGCGCCCAGGTGGGCCGAGCTTTGCGTTTACTAGTCGAGTCGTGGTCCCCTCACAAACAGGGCTCCAACTTTTGTTTCACAGTGCAGCACAAAACATGGCGAGAGTTGTATCATGCTTGCCCGCCCTTTGACTTGCGAAACCACACCGTGGCTTGGATGGCGACGTAGGAATCGCCATCCATTTTCACCTAGCACTCAACGATGTGGGCTTCCCACCATTCCTGTGGATCCACCACAGCTGCCGAAATGGCAAGCCAATCCGCTGGGCCCCACTTGGCCAACTACGCACCAAAGTCCAGCTTAGAGCAAGGGGCGTTCTGCACCATGTTGCAAGCCTCAGTGCTCTTGCAGTCAGGGCAAGCGCGAGCCGAGCTGCTAGCGGAGTACTAAAGCCCCCGGTAGTGCTCAGATGCAACGGTGTGCCCAATCGGATTAAACAAGATGATCCATGAGGCTGCCCCTATGGACTTACAATGATAGTGTCGATGGGTTTCTTGGTGTGTGTCCAATGTACGGCTGGAGGACGACCATGGGTTTGTACATACGGGTCTTCAAACCCATCAAAGACAAGCTCGTGTTGGTGGATACCGTGATGGAGGACATGTCATCAGAGTTGTTGGGGTTGTGCCTCAAGCTCGCCAAGGACATTGGTTGGTCAGAGGCAGCAAGGCAAGCAGGCTTACCACGCCTGCCTAGACAACAGACTGCACCGAAGAAGAAGGAGAAGCATAGGTGACACAAGATATTTGGCATTAGTTCGCAGGAGGACAATGATGCTGGGCATGTCAGCGCCTAATGGCACATTGTGCCGCAGAACCTAGTGAGCTTGTGGGTTGTGCACTGGGTGGAGAGTATTGGATAGCATATGATGATTGATCACGTGACACCTCTAGGAGTTTTTAAATGAGTGTTGGAGTTTGTGTGAGCCGGGTGCCCTATGAAAGAAAGATGCACTAATTTACTGGGCACAAAGCAGTGCCCGATGGCCTATAGTCGCTGGGCAGCCTGACAATCGTTGCGTATGCCTGCAATGAGTAGTGCATCCAAATGCGGTTTTCTGTAACCTGCCATATTTGCGATCTTGACGGGCATCAGATGCCCGCCAAGATCCCAAAGATACTTTAGGAGATGAACAGATTGACCAACTCATGTTTTCGTCTAGTAACACTGACTTGCAATTGTTTGGGGCGATATGGGTCTGTTTTGGGGTAGGTTTGTTCATATTTGTTATTCATAATAATGTTGCCTACTTGTTTAGCATATACATTGGGTAGCATGTGTATTGCCTTTGTTGAAAAAGGGCTTTCTATGTGAATTGTGTCTCCTGGGCTTGGGACCTGCTTCACAAAGATCTCCCCAAAAGTGTGTTGGATTGCCAATGCCCTGACTGAGTCGTACGGTGACTCAAAGGCTCCTAGCTATATGGTGGGCTCCCAAGGAACGGACTGAAATGGACTCAAATGGATAGGAATGGACCCATTCCCTAGTAGAAATAGACCCGTTCCAATCCCGTTCCTATCCAATCCAAATCTGTTCCAAATCTGTTCTTTGTGAATGGCCCAAGAATGGATTGGAACAGACTAGAACATATTAGAATAGGGACATGTTCCTATTCCAGGAATAGATTTGTCCATGTCCCTATCCTAATCTGTTCTAATTTGTTCCAATCCATTCTTTGGCCATTCGAAATAAAAACGGACACCATTCCATTCTTGTTCCAAATGTTTGTTGCTGAGCCCATCTTTGGACTATATGCCTTTCCTTGTCAGTTCAAGCAATCCAAATGGTCTCTCAAATCAGCGATGTGCTAGCTGGGTTCATCCCAATTCACCCACACAGCTTGGACCCTTGAGGCCTAGCACCTCCCAGAATTATCTTTGAATCCAATCAGTTTCAAGAGCTGGCTGATGACACGTGTCTATTGAGCACACAGGGCGCTATTTCATGACCAGCCCTTGTCTCTAAGCTTTCCACCTCCTTTCCACTCCACGAGTGTTCATGTAGCATTCCTTGGGTTTGCAACAATGTCCTCATTCTCAGAGTGTATTTTCTTTGTTTTCTTGTACTTTCTTTTGTTTTTCAAGTTCAACAATGATGGCATATTCAGGCCATCCCATGCAATGCATATAGCATATATGGTAGATACCCATAGTATGCCAATTAGATAAATGATCCACCCAGTGAAAAGGGTGGTCATTATATGGCATCACGAGCATTGCGATAATGCATGACACTAACACCTTACCCTAGTGTAAGCACACACGTGCAGGCATGCATACCATATCCGCGTACATGTGCAAATGCAAATAACAAGCCAACTCCACTTTTATCTCCAAAACAACATTGTTTAAATACTCCAAAACTGGGTAGTAATGACATGTAGCCATTTGGACATGGAAGCTGCTGCACCTTCCAAAACTTGTTAGCCTTGTAGTGTCAGTTCTTATATTTGTTCTTAGTTTGCATGATCAACCTCTTTACCCCGAACATAAGATATATGCCACAAAACTTACTGTTATGTTGCGGCTGCTAGAATCAGGTGTACTGCTGATTTGAAGTTGTGTAGCTGTCGTGAAGGTATCTGAGGGAATGGAGCACTCGATGCACTACCTGCGTTGGCAAAACAACCCATAGTCTAGACATGTAATAAATTGCATTTTGCATTTGATATCGTTCTTATTTTTTTCTATATCGCTTGAGTGAAAAAAGCAAATTTCAATTTGAAAAAGGCAAAATTAAATTTTGGAAAGAGGACATATATTGAGGTATTTCATGGGTTGAGGTGTAAACGACATGTTGAAAAAACATTTTGGATACATTATTTGGTCTCTTCGTTCGCTTTGGATGATAAAAAATAAGCAAGCTTGGAATAAGGCTCATGTGTGTGG